CTGAGTTCTCAATGAAAGCTTCAAGAGCACCTGGCAAGTGTAGCCTAAATAGTGCAGTTTATTGGTGGGGCAGTGCATGCCAGCAAAACACGTGTGATACCTCCTGCTGGTGGCTGAAAAAAAAAGGAAAACCACTTTGATGAACCCTTAAAAGGTTGGTTTACTTTTACAGGTTCCACAAAAAAACCTCGCTGGAGCCAGAAATAAAATACCACTCTGTCCACAATGGCAGGATTGACTCTGCTTGACTTGAGGTGGGTAACAGAGGCACCCTGGATCACACCACCCTCCTTCTTGGTTTCTCTCTTGACTATATAGGGAATTTGGTCAGCTAATTCTGGCCTTGAATCACACCCACAGCAGATGACTAATGCTGCCCTAAACAGAGATTTCTACTCTAAACCCTCACTGAATGGGCCTAGTGCCTTTCTGGTGGCAGATGAGGGGCTGGCACTGCCCAGAGTTGTAACTCAGGTGACCTTGGCCAGGCCAGTGTCCCCTCCCTCCCATCCCTGCCACTGCAGGGGAAATGGGCAGGCAAGGGAAGCTCTCCTGGCCTGGGACAGCAGGGCTGCAAGCCCAAGCACTGATTTACTGCTCCCCTCCCTGCTCAGTGGCTGCCCAGGTGGATGGTGCTCCAGCACGCTCCTGTGGATTTTTGGGAAACCAAGTGGTGCAGAGCTGGAGCTCCATCCAGCTCATCCAGCTGGAGAGACTGGAAAGAGGGAGGGGAAGGGCTTCAGTGCCACCTTAGCTAGGTTTTACCCCAGGTTTCTTCTTCAACATCCACCTCCTACTTCCCTTTTGTTGTTGTTTTTTTTGTTTTTTTTTTTTTTTGTGTTTTTTTTTTTTTTTTTTTTTTTTTTTTTTTTCTTATTTGCTCACTTTTCCATAAATAGCTTAATGCTTCTCAAATCCAGCCTTCTTGGAGGGGGTTGGAGGGGGAAGGGTGGACAGAGCCCTTCCTGAGCACTCACCAAACAATTCCCAGAGAGGAACCAGGTGGGAAAAGGGATAATGGATGGGCAGCACAGCTGAGGTGCCCACTCAGTGCTGAGGCTGCCCAGGGGGAGGCATGTATTTGAGGTGCTCAGTCAGCAAAGATCCCTGAGCAGCCAAGGGTGTCTCCCAGTCACTTCTGGCCCATTTCCCCTGTTAATCTCTTTTCCAGCAGTGTTGTCACACCTTCCCATTCCCCTTTCTCCCAGCCACCTGAATTTTCCAGCTCTTTGTGGTGAGGATATAATTATTTAAATTGCTCTCCATAGTTGCAGGCAGGCTGTAAAACCAATAAGTTGACCCAGTGCCCCAGCCTAGATAATGTGCCCTAGAATCTGAAACCCTGAACTCCAGCACAGGTACATTTGATACCCGTGGCAGAGGTATGCAATCAAATTTCTGCTGATCCACCAGAATTCCTGAGAAACTTTCTAGTGCGCTTGGGTGAATTATCCCCTCTTTGGTTTTTATGGGCAGGGCTGCAGCCATCTATCCAAAACCTGTGTTTGACACCTGAGTGGGAGCTATAGGAGAGTGACATGAGAAAAACTGGGATTGTTGCTCATTTAAAAAAAAAAATAAAAAATCCCTTGACCATACATTCCAACCAAGCTTTTGAATTGAAAAAGAGTGAAGACGAAAAAATAAAAAAACAACAACAAACAAACAAACAAACAAACAAACAAAACCACCAAAAAACAAAAAAACCAAACAAACAAAAAACAAAAACAAAAAAAAAACCCAAAAACCTAGAAAGCCATGGAAGTGTGGTCTGTTCAGAATTTCCAGCTGTAAAGTGCTTGGAATTCTGAGCCTGGCAGGGGAGCCTTGGTGCTGCTGGAGGCCACACCTTGTGCCAGCTGGGCTCTGCTCACCTATGCCAGCCCAGCTGGCAGGGGGTTTGGCAGGAATGGTAGCTCAGGTCTTTGCCAGCTTGTATAAACGCTGTTCCCGACAGAAAAACAATGAAGTTGTTATTTTTTCCCCCGCCTGGGAGCCATTAGGGAAAGTCAGAGCAGTCCTTTTACAGCCAGGCTTTCCTTTGATGGCCACCTTCCTTATCAGCACAGCTCTGCCAAGCTGGAGATACTCAGGGTTTGGTGTTTGAGATCACAGAAATGACTGGAAGTGTGTAAGAAGAGCCACTGCAGCTTTCTTCTTTCCTTGAGCCAGCTGGTACTTTATCCTTAGGCAATGTCAATTAAAAATTCAAACAGGCAGTCAACTCAACAAAACCCCATTTATTCTGCGAAAAAGCAAGCAAAGACATGGCTTTTGGGGCTAGATCCACTTGAGGCAGGGCTGGAGGAGCACAGGTCTGGAGATGGGGAGGTTGTAAATCCCCCAGGAGCTCTGCAGAGTGCTCTCCCCTTTTTCGCACTCGCTGTTTCTAGAGCTGAGCTCCAGCACTTCCAGTGGAGGAGGTCGAGGCTGCTCTCAAAAGCTGGGTGTTCCACCCCATGGCTTGTGAAAAAGCAGCCCTAACCCAAGTCCCTGGCAGGAAACACTTCTTACTCATGCTCTACTCAAAAGTTACTCTACCCTGGCAGCCAAGCTCACGGAGAGCAAACACCTCTGCCAGCAGCAGGGATGGGCTCCAGGTGTGAGAGGGTCCCTGGGTTTGTGCTCTCAAAAAGGGAAAGGAGGCTCCGGAGCTGCCAGGCTCAGCCCTGTGCTCCCAGACATGCTGCTTCTACTTTGTTCCACTCTTCCCACCCAAGAAAAGAGAATAATATTTGCTCACCTCCCTCGCCGGGCTGTTGGGAGATGGCAATGAATGTCTGCACAGTGCTGCAAAGATAGAAGGTGCTAGAAAAATGTGGAGCCTGCAGGTTCCCAGCAGCGTATTTGAACGTTGCAGGAAAGGGAAATAGGGTGCTCAGACACTTGTGGGGAGAGCAGGACAGGTTTATTGCAGGCAGGAATGTTTAAAGCCACAAATACAGGGGGTGCCAGAATGGGTTTATGAGGAGGTGATGGACTGCAGGCACTCCATAAAGCACAGTCCTGCTGACCAGTGGCACTGGGGCAGAGCTGGATGCTGACCTGAGCGGGCTGTCACATCTGTCACCCTGCCAGGGGGCTGGGCAAGGCTGAGGGAGTGTGGAAAGCAGGCTGATGTGTCCTCGGAGTCACCTCTGAGCAGAGCCAGAGCAGAAGAGTGGGTGCCACAAGCCCTTGCCTGCAGACACTCGTTATCAGGGACCTGTGAGAGGTGTTGGTGCTCCTGCAGGGCTGCTGAGGGCTGCAAGTGCCACCACTTCAGCAGCCTGCAGAGCTGCCACTGCTGCTGGGGACAGGCAGACTGCTGTGCTGAGCCCCCAGCCCTCGCTGGCTGTGAGGAGGGGGACAGGAGCCCTTCCCTGCTCTTCTCTCCCTGGCTCTGCAGCGTCACTCCCAGCACACTCAGCCCAAGGCTGCAGAATTTGGTCCAGGCTGTTTCCCAGGGCAGTTCCCAGTGGGACATGGCCACTGGGTGGCCATGGTGGTGATATCTGTGGCAGAGGTATGCAATCAAATTTCTGCTGATCCACCAGAATTCCTGAGAAACTTTCTAGTGCACTTGGGTGTATTATCCCCTCTTTGGTTTTATGGGCAGGGCTGCAGCCATCGATCCAAAACCTGTGTTTGACACCCAGGTTGGACACTGTTATGGACAAATTCAATTGGGAAGGCTAATTATAGATAAATCAATTAACAAGAATCTATTAAGCAAGTGGTATTAAGCAAAAGAACAGTGCTGGGCAGCCAGGGAGCCTCTGCACTGCCACGGTGCACCTTCCCCCTTTGACCTTTTTGTTTTATAGTCCTTTTTTGTTTGTTTGTTTGTTTTTTCCCCAGTTGATGTATTTTCTCTCGATGTACTCTTTGCCGGTGCAATTGGTTGCTGGGGGGTCTTTTTTCTGCCCTTGGTGGTCATAGGAATGAAGGCTCCTCATCTTCCTTGCAGATTGTCCTCGGCCTAAAAGTTAACTTGTATATAATTAGTTACACAGTCTTCTATGCTAGTTACATCTGCAAAATTCTTAAGCAGAATACTTGCTGTTTCCCCCCTTTTCTCCTTCTCCTCCCACATCTTGAGATTCCCTACTCATTTCAAATTCTTATCTCCTTCAATGCTCGTTTTGAAGAACAAATACCTTTTTATTTATTACAGACACCATGGCCGCAGGTATCACATGGCGGTGACAGGGATTTCACGGGGTGGGTGCCACTCTTGGCAAGGGGCAGCCTTGCCTCGTGCCCAGGCACCAGAGCTCTCCTGGAAGGGCAGAAAATGCTTTGAGGGATGGGGGGATGCGCTGATGCCCACGGCACCGGGATGCAGCGGGTCAGGCATCACGCAGAAAGCCAGATTTGGGGATGTCACAGAGCCCAGACTTGGGGATGTCACTGAGCCCAGACTTGGGGCTGTCACTGAGCCCAGACTTGGGGATGCCACACAGCCCAGACTTGGAGCTGTCACTGAGCCCAGACTTGGGGCTGTCACAGAACCCAGACTTGGGGCTGCCACAGAGCCCAGATTTGGGGATGTCACAGAACCCAGACTTGGGGCTGCCACAGAGCCCAGATTTGGGGATGTCACAGAACCCAGACTTGGGGCTGCCACAGAGCCCAGATTTGGGGCTGCCACAGAACCCACACTTGGGAATGTCACAGAACCCAGACTTGGGGATGCCACACAGCCCAGACTTGGGGCTGCCACTGAGCCCAGACTTGGGGATGCCACTGAGCCTAGACTTGGGGCTTTCACAGAACCCAGACTTGGGGATGTCACAGAACCCAGACTTGGGTCTGTCACTGAGCCCAGACTTGGGGATGCCACACAGCCCAGACTTGGGGCTGCCACTGAGCCCAGACTTGGGTCTATCACTGAGCCCAGATTGGGGCTGCCACAGAGCCACTTCCCTGGGCTCAAGGACCAGCAGGACTCTGCTCCCCAGCAGGGACTGGCAGCCAGAGGCTCCCCATAGCAACGGAGACAAACAAACCCCGCGGCTGCAGCGATGACTGAAGGGAAAGGGTAAGGGAACAGCCAAACTATTTTTGTATTTCCGAACTACGCAGCAGCAGCAGCTATTTTTTCCTTTTCCGTGCTGAGTGGCCACGGTGGTGTGATGGGTGATATCCCCCCTCCTTCCCCTGCGTGCTCTGAGCTGAAGTCTCAGCGATTTGTCTGACAAGTTTCACGTTGGTGGGTCCCTGGCTCATGCACGGTGTTTGTTCCCCAGCGTTAATTCACAGTGTGAGTGTGCACACCCAAACACCTCCCTGGCAGAGCTGGGACGTGCATGCAGTGAGTGTGGACACCCTCTCTGAGTTGCCACGTCCCTCCAAGGGCTGGGGACAGCCTGCCAGCCCCCAGGCTGCAGGAGATCCACCAGGTGCCACCTCGGATGTCTCTGCTCCTTGGGGGCTTCTCCCAGCGGCCAAGCGTGGGCATGGGCAGTGGGGGTGGCAGAGGGGCAAGAGCTGGGCAGGAAATCTCTCCACACAACTCCTGGAGGTGTGGGAATGTTCCCTCTGGGAGATGGAGACCCTCTGCAGCTCTTCATGAAGTGTGAGAAGGGATGAGAACATTCTCCTTCCACAGCCAGCTCTGGGGCAGGGGTTGGACCAGGCTCTGGTGGCTGAGTGCTCCCAGGTGGGGGTGGCTTTGACTCACCTACCTGGGCTGTCTCCATCACCCAAGGCTCCCTTTACTGGCAGCAGGAGAAATGGGTGTGTTTTGGGCATGAGTCAACTGGCCTAATTTTGCTTTCTGTCTTAGGGTAAGGTGATTTCCCCTGGATTTTCTTCTCCTCCTTTCTGTTGGCTGCTAAGGGACATTAGCTCAGATAAACTGATGCCTCCAGTGGGCTGATGAATGGCCATCCCACGTTAGTTACTGAGTGTTAGCTGCCCTAGCCTGGGCAAACATTACCTCAGTTGGCTTTGCTCATGCTGCAAGAAAGCCTGTAGAGATCCCTGAGTTGTGACAACTTATTTTTTATTTTAGTGTGATGAGAGAACAAGTCAGTGGCTCAGAAACCAAAGCCCAGCTGTGAGGAAGCCAGTGCTGCCATGATCCCTCCTATTAATCTGATTTTTCTGTTAAAAGGTTCTTTGAGCGTTTTGGTGGAAAGCGTTTCACAGCAATAGCACAGAGGGAAGTGAAGGAATTACTTCAGATGTAGCTGTCTTTTTTCTGCCTTCATTTGCTTTTACTTTCCCACCAGGCTGGAAACCATGGGCAGAGTGCAGAAGCGAGGGTATCCAGGATTCCTGGAGCTGCAGCTGCAGTTTGTTATGGGCTGGGTTTGGGTTAGGCCACCACTGTGTCAGGCAGCACGCAGACAGTTCCTGTCCCAATTCATCACCAAAGCAGCAGCAGTGCTGGTGGTGATCACACATTTGATGTTTTCCTCCTGGAAGCTCCTGGAGGATGGAGCAGCTTCAGTGAGCAGCCACTGGGGCCAGAGGTGAAGCCTTGACCTGGAAAGGAGCCTTTGTGGGGTGGTGATTTATGGCCAAGCTGTCCAGCCATCACTGGGGGACAGAAGAGCAGCTCCTGCCACACTCATCTGGCAGAAATCTCTCCTCTTACTGGAAATTTGTTGTTTAAGGAGATGTTGATCAAACCAGCGCTCCTGCCCGGGGTTTGAACACCCTTGGAGGTCAAGTTTCAGCACGCAGCGAGGTTCATGCCAACAGGCAACTGACTGAATGAATGAATCAAAGGGAAAATTAATGAGGTTTCAAACGTGGAGACAAGTCAGAGCCACGTCTCTACACCTAAATGCAAATTTGGCTTAACCCCCCCGCACCCCCCACCCCTGCATATTTGCCAAGGGGTTACAGCCCTGGCTCAGCGCTGGTTAAGCAATCGGGTAAAGCACTTTGTGTTCCTGCCTGGTGGCACAGACACATCAGCTGAGACATCCACGGTCTGGTGTTGTTTGGAGGAAGGGCTCGGTGCTGTCTGGGTGGGGATGTGTAGGAAATAAAAGAACAATAACTCCGTTCTTCAGGCGCCGTAAATCGGCCCTTTGTTCTCTCCTCCTTGATGTGCTGGAGGAAAGTCACTGCAAGTGCCATTGTTTTCCCAGAGTGTTTTTGAAGAGCTTCAGTGTGTTCCTCAGCTTAATTCAACAGATTTACTTGTTTTCAGAATATATCAGATGAAATATTCGAGGAGAAAGCCAAGATGTTAATTCTGTTTCTCTGCTTGCATGAGGAACCACCTCTGGAGGATTTTGAGGCTCCTTTGTTTGCATGGTAAGAGGTGTCTGAGAATGATTTTTTAATGATTTCAACTTAGAGGGTCTACAAAGAGGCTGAGGTGGTTGGATGGGGGAAACCATCCCTTTTCTGCCCATTACTCTTTGCTTTGTAGGCCAGGCTGGGGCAGTGGCTGCACTCCCCTGGCACTGACCTGCACCCTTCCAGCAGGCTGTAATTCAGCAGTTCCTCATTTCAGCACAAGACCAGCAGAGGAATGGAAAGGGTGGTCCTGCTGAAAAGCTCACAGCCACGCTGATGTGCTCAGAGGGAATTTATTTTCTTTTTGGCTGTAGGTGTGCTGTACATCCGTTACACATCCTAAAGCAATTATAGGAGAAAGAAGCCATAAAAAGGGCTCTGTGCCCAAAACCTCACCTGTGTTTTCCAGCTGTGTTAGGGAACCTAAGAAAAGCCATTTCCTCTTTCCACAAACCATCTTTCTTTGAAGGCAGCTATGTGTGGAATAAAAAGTGGTTTTTTTCTTTTCAGTGCTGCTGCAGAGCATTTAAGGAAAGTATTAATAAGACAGGTCTCCTTCAAAGGCCAGCTGAAGAACCCTTGAAGAAAAGTCTGCCCTCCACCCTCTCCACACCACTTCAGGGACATGAGAAGTGTTGTTTTGCTGCCTCAAAAGCTGTCTGTGCTGAGGATCACAAAGGATGAGACAACTTTACCCCTCTGGCCATGTTCCTGTTGGCACTGTCACTGCACTCCTGCTCTCCTGGCTGTTCTCACCTGGGGCTAAATCCTCTTCACTTCAGTGACAGGGAGACAGAGACACGTTTCAGAGGGAGAAAAGCAGCAAGGACGTAGTTGCAGCACTGTGGAGAGCTGAAATGAGTAGAAAAAAAAGTGGTTTAGTATCTGAGAAGTGATGGATCTCTCTGTCTGCCTACCCATACAAGCCCTGGCTCTCAACAGAACAATAAATAAATAAATAAATAAATAAATAAATAAAGCAACATTTTTTTTCATAAAATCAACCCTATCAACAAAGTGGGGATTGCATGTGACGTTGATGAGGCGCAGCAACAACATCAACAACAAAAAATTAGAGTTCTGAATTAAAACCTTTTGGGAAAGCTTGGCTTTGAGCTTGGAATTGGAGTCAGGAACGTGTGCAGGCTTGCTGGGAGGTGATTAAGGCTCGGTGTGAAAACACACCTGGGGTGTTCCCTGGGGACTTGGTTGACTGCTGCTTGTTCTGGGCTCTGATCTCCAGCAACAAGATAAGGCAGGGCTTGCTTCCAGGGGAGGTGAGGAGCATGAATGGGAATGTTCAAGGAGTCTCTGGAGTGCTGAAGGGCTGGCAAGGTGTGAGGAGAGCGGGCCTGGAGGCTGCTGGAGGGGTGTAGGAAAATCTTCTGAGATGACTCAACCAGGATGAAAGAGAGGGAATTTTGGGGGAGGGAAGGAAAACTGAAAACTGGCTTCTACTCAATTTTCGCAAGACTCCAGAGGGGCTGGGTGGGGCTGGGTGTGAGGAAAGCAGGGCTGGATGCAGAAAATGTGATTTAAAGAAGAGGAGCCCTGAGCTGACAGTGCTCAGGTGGAGATGCTCTGGCTGTTTCTCATTCCTGATTTACCAGGAAAGTGGGAAAATATGAGCAGGAGGCATTAATCATGCCATTCCATGTAGTCCTCAAATACATTGGATTACTGGAGAATTTATTAATAGAGAGGTGGGTGATGACTTACAAACAAAGAGCTTTTAGGGCAGGAAGTCCCAGTTGTTGAGTGATAATAATTGAGTGTAATTATTTTAAATAGAACATTTCCAAAGAATGAAAAACGCTGCAATTCCCTCTTGTTGGGCAGTGCTGTAGGCATCAAAAAAATGAATGCTGCACAAGGGAAAATGCCTTTCCTGCCAAACCTGTCAGGCCAAGACACTCCAGCTTTTGTGAGTCCATGGGGAAAAATTTCTAAAAATTATTTATATAACTATTATCACCACCATACACCTGTAGGGCTCTGTGGAGCCAGAGCAATGCAAGCAGACAGATGGGAAAAAACTTCTGAACCTCTTGCAGGTGACTCAGTGGTGAACGGGAAAAATCTGTTGTGCTCGAAATTTGTTGTGGAAAAAGACCAAGGACAGCATGCAAAATAAAAGTATTTGAAGTCTTTACTACTCCCAGTTCTTTCAACAGGGTTTTTTAAAGACCTTGCTGTAGTCAGATATTTTTTTTTTTTCTTCAGTGTAAGTGGTTTGGACCTGCCTTTGAAATCTCACTTTCATACTTTATGTGCTAATTTATACTCAGAAACCTGAGTCCACACTCTGCAATCCTCTTCAGGCAGGGTAAGGCTTGCAACTGCCTTCAATTATCTTTTGAAAGCAGAGAAAAAGTTGGAGCTTCAAAGCTCCATGTTTTATCACTTATGTTATTGATGGATAGCACTGAGGAAGTCAGCTAGGACAGAGGAAGGGATTAAAAAAAGAATTGTTGCATCACATGCTTCAGGTATATCCTTCCCTTTTCTAACTCATCAAAGAGTAGGTGGATTATTTGACTTTGGGATCCCATAGGAAGCCTTTTCCTAGATCTGGTTATCCCAGTGATTCAAACATTCCATCTAATTTACAGCCTAAATAAATGGATGGCCAGTGTGCATCCATATGTTCTTATGAGGAAATTATCCTGGCAGCTCTTCCCAAGTGTTTCTGCCCAGCACTCTAATAGGGAACACCTAATTTACAGAATTATAGGATCACAGAATATCCTGGGCTGGAAGGGACCCACAGGGATCCCGTCCAGTGCCAGCCCTGCCCTGCCCAGACCCCCCAAAATCCCACCCTGGGCATCCCTGGCAGTGCTGCCCAAAGTCTCCTGCAGCTCTGGCAGCCTCGGGGCCGTGCCCATTCCCTGGGCAGTGCCAGCACCTCTGGGGAAGAACCTTTCCCTGAGCTCCACCCTAAACCCTTTCGAGTTTTTATCCTGCTCTTTTCCCAAGGCAAAGCTTTTAGCAGAAGTATCCAGGTGATGCAGCCTTTTCTCTTCTGATTATCCTGATAATCCTTCTCCATCCCTAATTTATGCCCCTTGGTAGTTCATGCTGGGAATTGGAAGCAAGAATTGTACCTGCAGTTGCAAAGGAAATCTGACCAAAAGCTTGTACAGTGGCATTACTTTAACCCTTCCTAGGGCATCCCTAACAGAGGCACCTCTTTGGAAGCATTTTAAGGCTGAAGTTCCCTCTTCACATCTGCATCCTGTTATCATTCCTAACTGCCCTTTCCTCAGGGGAGAAAGCTCTGTTGCTGCCAGGTGATGAATTTCTTGCTTGGAGAAAAAAAATCAGTAATTCCCAAAGGCATGACCTTGCACTACTGGATTTCCTCCCTTTTCTGCTACTTTGGATCATGAGGTCTTACTGTAACATGCTCTAACATTCTGAATTGAAGCTGCTTCCCAGTTTTGTGACATCAGCAAATTTTATTAGCACATGCTGACGTTCTGAGCCAAGGCCATGAGGAAAATTATTGAGTCAGATGAGTCTTGGAAACACTCCTGGGGAAGGAGCCTCTGTTGCTGACTCTTCTCCCCACTGCCTGAGGCTCCATCCCTTCAGTTTTGCCCATCTCAGCCTCCTCCTTCTCCAGGTAAGCCCATACCTTGCCCTGCAGCGTTTTTGGAACTGAGAGAGGAAAAGTTTATGGCAAATCTGATCTCTAGAAAATCAGATACCACGTTTGACAAGAATAATCTGCCCCGAGGTGAACCTGCCTTGCATCTTGCCACATCCACCTCCGTGCCTTCAGCTGCATGTTTTATTTCCTCCTTTAAAATACATTGCTTGCAAGGAGGAGAGTCCAGCAGGCTCACAGCTGGACACATGTGTGTTTTTACCTGGGAACAGCCCAGGTGTGAGCTTGGCTCTGCTGTGGGCTGTGGGCACACAGAGATCCTGCCCTGCAGCTGCAAAAATCCCTTTTCCCTGTCCTCCAGAGAGGACTTCAGCTGTTTAATGATCCATCTCCACCCCTAGATAGGCATGCAGGGAACTCCAGTGGGAACAGAACCACGGTTTAAGCAGTGCCTGTATCAATTGTGCTTTGCTGGTGCCTTAAACACCAAAAGCTGCACTGGTCCCCCCTCACTGGTGAGTCTTTGAGGAAGACTTCAGGTCAGAGATTATATTTATCCTTTTAGAAACAAGAATGAGATGACTGACTGGCACTTTAGCCCCTGAACACGCATAAAACAGAGAGCCACCAGGTTTTCAGGTAGTGTCAAAGACCACCCTAGGTGAGGGGTGGCTCTGTGTGGTGGAAAAACTTCTCCTCCAAGCTGTGCTTCCAAAGAAAGGCTCAGTATTCTCCTGTTGTCCAGTCTCAAGGCAGTTTATTGCGAGTTATCTAAAAGATTTTCTTCTGGGGCTGCTGTGGTTTGCTCAGAGCTCAGCAGAGGCACACACACACCCTGACATCCTCTCTGACTCCCGACTGCTTCTTCTCTCCCTGCCCAGGGCTGCTGCTGCCTTTAATATGGTACATTACGTGTTACATGTTTATAGTTTTTCCCAATGCCTATTACCTATATTAAATGGTGCTTTTCTATCTTTTATATGGTACATTACATGTTACATGGTTACAGTTTTCCCCAATGCCTATTACCTATATTAAATGGTACCTTTCTACTCTAAACCAATCTGTGAGTGCCAACATCACCAAGAGCATGGAGGTGAGGAAGGAGAAAGAGGGAGGACAGGGCAGGCCCAAAACCCTCCATCTTAAAACCTCTGACCCCCATGTACAAAACCAAAACCCCCCTGTACAGCACTCAAAAATTCTTCCCTTTACTTTGTGACTACTTCTGCTGTAATATCTAAACTTTTGTGACTTCTTGTTCTTCCTCCAAAGTTGGTAAGTCATTCCATGGCTCAAACCCAAAATCCCAGCTGTTTCCAGCTGCCTGCCAGGGGCTCAAATGCTTCTGATATGGACCTGGAATCTCCAAAAATGTCTGAGGGACATTTTGAGTTCTGAAAAGGTAGCATCCAACACGGCGTTTTATTTCTGTATCAACTGCCAAACAATCCATCAAGTGAGGAATCTGAAGAGATTTAATTCCAGAATTCGTTTGATTTAAATTTAAAAACAAACAAACAAAACCCAACCTCCAGATTTTACTGTAGCATGGTAGGTGTGACACAAGATTTTACATGGAAGCATCTTGTTAGAGCTTTGACTGTTGACAGTTTTAGACTTTTTGTGTTGACAGGCAATGATTCTCAAGAGAACACTGCATTTGACCTGAAGCTGTAAAAAAAGTTTCCAAAATTGAATGACAGAACTAAGATTTTAAGTGTGTAGTATGAATAGAAATGTGTAATATCACATAATATTAAACTTAGAGTTTAAAGCTTTAGAATATAGTAAAATATAAAAAACAAGATAAAAGTTTTAAAGCAGAAGCTAGTTCTTCAGTTTCTTCTTCATGGGTTTAGGTAGTATTGTGTAATTAGATAAAAACGTCCATATTATGAACCACGGGCAGTTGATTATTAAGTTAAAAATAAAAATAATTTAAGTGTCATTTCTTAATTATGCAGTTTATCCTTAAAAAGCCTTGTAGAGAGAGAGAGAGACACGGTTCCATTTTCACTTTGTAAGAGTGAAGTGCTGGAGAACTCAGGGTTTGTGAGACTGTAATATAAATAAGAACTGATAAACATCTGAGTCCAAACAAGAAATACCATCTTGTACATTTAATCCCGACCCTAGGGAAAAAAAAAAAAAAATTAAGTTAAAATCCCACAGCATCTTTCACCATAGCAGGGGCACTGGTCTCCTTCCAGCACCACACCCAGCTCGTGGTTCGCTCCGTTTCTTTTGTGCTGCTGCAAAGGCAGATTTAACCTTTCCCGGATGCGTTTTCCAGCCTGCAGACACGCAGGAATGGTTGGTCATTTCCTACATTACTGGCTTGTCCCCGTTGCTCGGTGACAGTCCCGGGTTGTTGGTCTGCAGGAGCAGATGCAGAACAGAGCCCAGGGCTGGGGCTGTGCCTGTGCCCATGGCCAGCCCGGCTGCTCCAGACAATTCCCTGGCACACAGAGCCTGGCAGGGACCACAGGGAGCTTTGGAGCTGTTGGGTTGTAGCAAGAGGATGCAGTCTCAAGCTACGTCAGGGAAGGTATAAGTTGGATATTAGGAAAACAAATTTTCACTGAAAGAATGTGGAAATCCAGGGCTTCCCTCTGGCTGCCCTGGAAGGTCTGGGACCCT